ATATCAAATATGATATCAAACGTCAATTCCGCCATGAAAGAAAAAAATGTATAAGAAACGTTTTGAGATTAAATTAATTTGTTATGCATGTTTTAGCAATTAAAACACATAAAATATTTTTATTCCGGATTATTTGTTTAGATTTTGGTTGTCACTTCACTGGGCATATAAATCGAAATTGACAATTGATAACAATCTATTGTATCAATTCTATTCTATTGTATCAATTGGATGTTTACATATTTTTTCACCATGATGTACATGGCGCTGATCCCCGATTTTATATTTGATCGCCAATGTCGCGAGCATGGACTCACATCGATGAGTTACCATTCAACTGCCAGAAATGTGGCAAACGATTTGGCAACGAAAACGAGAAGAAATCTCATGACGATCGCTGCACAGGTCGGCGATACGATTGCTATCTAAGCTCATTCAAATGTTTTAAGAAATACAATTTGCAGTGCCACATGCGATCAAATCACACTGGCGGAAAGCCATTCTTATGTGGTATTTGTGAAAAGACATTCCGTCAAAGAAATGCTCTTAAGCGACATTTGACAACGCACAAAAAAAAAACAACCGATTCGTTGCGTAAAATGCTGGAAGAAGTTTGCAGAAGAAGGCGACAAGAAAGCACACGAAGACCGATGCAACAGACGCCACTATCAGTTCTATTTGTGTCGAATTTCAATGCATGATTCATCCCAATTGAAGGTTCATACACGCAATCACCATACTGGTGAAAGACCATTTCCATGTACCTTGTGTGCAGCTCGTTTCTCACTTAGATGTCATGCAAATCGACACATGAAAAATGTCCATCGCTTGAAGTAGATAGCAGTTTCATAACATAATTCATTTCTAAAAAAGAATTGAAAGAAAAATTGTTTACGAGCAATCAACACAACTTCTGTTATACTTCCGCGTAAAATAAAACAAATAAAGAATCAAACCAAATCTTTTATTTCAATGTGAAACAAGTTTTTTTTACTAAGATAAGAAAGTCTTATTTACAGCCTTTATATCGTCGTGGCTTTTGAAAAACAATCCTGTTTTAAAATGTCTAAAATCAAACTGGATTACGTCAATTCTTCTCAATATTATCTATTCGCAAGCGAGAATGATTCGATTTGTTCAACTCCTTTGATCGTTGCTGCTGATTACCTTTGGCTATTGTCACCGTAAGCTGGACTGTGTTTTGAAGATGGATATCATTGTATGAAAATTGAATGTAATTATTTGATAGGTCCAGTGTCTTCAACTTGGTGAGTTGTGAGAATGTTCCTGGTTGAATTTCTTTAATGCGATTGTACGACAAATTCAGGTGTTGCAATTCACAAAACAAATTAAATGTATCGACGTTCACTTCGTTTATGTTATTAAAAGATAAGTCCAACATTGTTACTCTATTACAAGAAGATGAGTTAACTTTTGACTTGATTTCATCAATTTCATTGTGCGACAGGTCGATTTGTTCAATTCTACCCAATTGCTCCGGAATCATTTTCAGCTGATTATGCGATGCGAATATTTTGATAACACTCCGTGCTTCTTCCAAATAGAGCCACTTTAAACCCAAATTGGATATGTTCAGCACTTGTACTTTATTGTATTCTTCGAACATTTCTCTGGGCAATTCATGTAATTCACAATTTTGAAAGGCAATCGCTTTGATTTCATCCTTATTGAATGCATTGAGCGCAACCTGGTCACCACAAAAATGATTGAAACTCGGATAGAAAAGTCGTTCATCGACATAACCCGAACATTCAAACGTAACTCGGCGTTCACTTTTCGAATAAATACAAGAGCTAATTCCATTTCCCGCTGAATGTAACTGAATTCCGATGGAAAGTAAAACGAAAAATATTGAAATGATTTTCATTTTGATGCGAAACCAACTGTGTTCAACTTGTGAATGGCACAATGTGTCAAATTGAATTTGATAAAAATGTTATCAGTTCGAAGGTCGTTCGAAGAAACAATATTATATTATTGTATATTTTTAGATCGTTTCCGTTCGACTTTCGAGGAAAAAATACACAATTTTCATAACAATGTACATGTCGTGTAGCGCACAAACATAGTAATTATTATAACTTTTTGTAATGAAAAAATGGGGTCTGTTTCCATGTTGTATCACTATCGCTAAATTTTATTACATTTGAATACACACGATTCACATACGCGATTTGTAGATTATATTCAGTGGTGTTATTTTGAATATAGATGATTTGACACGTTTTAAGGCTTTAAAAAAAATTCATTTGATTTTATGTTCATTTGTTTCAAAATTATATGCAATTTTATATTATTTTCTGCTTTGGCATTTTTCGTTGACTTTATTTTTGCTTGTGAATTTTCGTAGAATAGTGCCAATGTGTGTCGTTGTACGCGATGATTTAATTTTCTATGTTCAGATTATTTTATGATGGAAATATTCACATTTGCACTGTCAATCTGTTGACTGATTGAAATTGTTGTTGCATTTCATATGTGTGTATTTAAGCTTGATATTTTACAAAATATGTCAACAAATACGTTGAAAAACTGGTGTGAACAGCACCCGTACTGGAAAAGTAGGAATTTGACCAATACATATTTTAATGGTAGTAAAATCTGAGACGTTGATTCAATGTCGGAATATGATGGCGTTCTATTTTCAACCAAAAGTATGTTTTAGCGTAGATGGCGCTGATTTAAATGGACATTTGTATGTATAGACGGTGGCGCCGCCCTACTCAATTAAACACTGAACTACAGCGTTTTCGATCGTTGCGTTGATTAAAGTCGATTACTTTTTGTGCAATTTTTCAAATCTGGTTAATTTGGCAAGTAAATCATGTAAAATCAACAATTTTTATTATATTTTTTGAAACAAATAATTTTAAATTGTTTTAAAAAGTTTAAAAAACATCTCAAAATAATTGGCTGACAGCCATTTGTTTTGTTACATGATTTCAGTCATTACATTGGGTCAAGATACTATCGACAAATAGGACAAGATATTAGGAGCTATTTAGCAACAATGAATGAATATTCTGCAGAGTAAAAAAAGTATTGAACTAACTGGTCAGCTGAGCTTAATGGCCTAAAAAAATAATAGTGATTGATCATTATAACAATAACTTAAGCACAGCTGTTGCCACCGCAGAATGGCCCATCCTTATAACTTTTCAAATGACATAACTGTCCACGAAAAAGTGTCCACGCTTCCGTGATGCCTATAACAGCTCTGGATTTAAGGCAGACATTTTCCTCAATTTTTCATAGTCTCTATTTACCTGATGATTTAAATATGATTAGATTGAACGTAAAAAAATATTTTTATTCGAAGCTGTGAAATTCAATACACATACAATTTAATTAGGCAATATATCGTTGCATATTTGATGTTATCATCTCTGTATTGATTTCAGTCATCTTCAATCATGTCTCCAATGCTACAGCCACAACTGCCCTCTCCACGAGTTCCATATTCTCTCAACCCACGGCAGGAGATCTCAGCGTGAATAATAAATGTTTTATGTAAACAATTTTTCGTACAATTTCAAACGCATTGATAACCAGCTCTGGCGATAAATAGTATGTTGACCCAATGTCCCCAACAATAATTGTTTTTGTTTTTAAAAAGAGACCTTAAAGCACAGTCTCAACAATTAATTTCACTGTTAATGTTGCCCATATGTGACATAATGCAAATTTTATCTATATAAACCCTTCATTCCAAAAGTTCCGGAACCTTTTAAAAATAATAGATACCAGTGGCGCCACCTACCGGATATAATATGCGTTAGAAAGTCGGAGTTCCCATTGACATTGTGTAAAAGTTTCGTAAAGATCGGATGTAAACATGCCAAGATATTGCGTCTAATTTTTTAGTTTCTTTTGCTCTCGGTGACAAAATGAATTTCAAACAAAAAATATTCAACTTTTGTGATAAATTTTGAAAGTTTTAACGAATTAGATATTTCAAAAACCATTTTATTATGATTGCTCATACTGTCGATAAGCTAGAAAAACTAAGACACGAGATCCTATATCGGTACATGCTTCGCATATCGACATCTTTGGGAAAAGTCAAATTTTCAGGATATTATCATTTCGTGGACCAATTTTCTGTGAATTTCGTGGAACCATCATCGAATCTTTTGCTCTGATCAGCCATAACGATTATTGCAGATAGTCAGATGTGTTAAGTCTCTAGAACATGCAATAGACAGTAAGTCACTTTTTCACGATATTGCATTTGCTCATTTTCAGTCATTTGTCAACAAAAATGTCCATTGCATAATTTTCCATTTTCGTTTCATATATCTCGTATGGTTATCCTCTTTCCAACCAGTGCATTTGCTGATGAGAACGAATCGATACAACAATTCTGTGTTCAATTTTCTACCGTTGACCGATGACGCAAACATAATAACACATTCGACGCAATAACTTAGCTGTCAGGGATCCGATCCTTATGAAACTTGGACATGATATCAGTGGGGCAAGTACCTTTCTAACGCATATAATATCCAGTAGGTGGCGCCACTGGTATCTATTATTTTAAAAAAGTTCCGGAACTTTTGGAATGGAGGGTGTATAGATGTGCAACCGAAATTGTATTTTTTTAATTGACACTGAGTTGATAACATCTTAAAGCAGCCATTTAACAATAAATTAAAATAAAAAGCAAAGACATATTATCACAGAGCCTTTATTTATTGCATTCATTAAATGAAATAAACAATCGTCTATTTATAATTCAAAATGGGCATAATAACGATAATTGCCAATGCGATAATTTCCATATTTTTCTCCCAAAACTCACCTACATAAAGCATTTCAATTTCATTCGTTTATTTTTCATTCGATTGTTCGGTGCGTTTTTTTTATTTTGTCGTGTGTGCAACCAAAAAAAATGACCACATACGGATCGGATCGAGCTCTAAATAATCATGGCAACCCTGAATTAAGTAGTGACAATTCAACCGAGAAAAAGCAGAGCTACTCGTTGAATCTCCATACAAGTCACTTGGCCGCTTTGCATCTACTTCTATCGCTGTCGGTTTTCATTACTAGTGTTTACTTGGAATTGCAATGGTTAACTGAACAAAATTGTCGAACATACTACATAATGATATACATAAGATGTATCTTTTGGATCGCTTCATGTGTATTAGATGCATTGTTCACACGCAGACACAATGAATTACGTCGACACGGTTACCATGATTTTTATCGTGATAAGATTCTAAGCTACAAAAATGCACCACTTTTTATTGTAACAATCTGGAATATGGTGCTGTTTCTGGTGCAAACAATCATGTTTGAGAATTATGGTTCGGAATTTTTGTTGCAGTGCCAAAGGATCGCCCAGTCACCCATCACATATGTGTGCATTTTTTGCGGTCTCGAAACAATTCTGCTGATGATCGTGCATGGAACGTATATTATGAGAGTTTATAAATTTAATAGCACGCATTCGTTACCGGACGCGTTAAGGGATATTGAACAACCGTTTCTTGGATCGCTGGGCATTACAATTGATAATTCCAAAATTGGAGATTTGTTAGAAAAACAAGCTGATTTGATTTACTATCTTAAAGAACAAAATTTCAACCTCAAACGGAAATTGTTACAGCTTAATCAACGAACAGATGTCTGTGGGAGTTATCAAAAGATTTAGTTTTTATATTAATTGATGTACTTTAAAGTTTTTTTGTAATACAGGGAATCATTATTAAGAAGGATCTTAATAAAGAAAGAAAGATCTATATTGACTCATTCTGTTTGTGACAAAAACTTTGTGTACAGTTTAACTGATAATAATAATTTAAAAGAACAAGACTGAGAATAAATATAGAATTTCATTTGGTAAATAATATGTCGCCACGAGATGAATTCAAAAGGCGATATGACATTGTATTCAATGACATTCTGTATTTATTTATATTTTTATTGAACCAAACAGAGGCAAATAAGCGGTCAAAATGCTGTGCACAATCTTCCTACTTCATTCTTTCTATCAACCATCACTTTTCAGCATGGGTGTTGACGAGATTTTCAGCATAGGTGTTAACGGGTTTCAATGGAAAAATTCCGTAGAGGTTCTTTCAAAGCACTTCTTTGGCAAAATCTATCATAAAATCAATTGTACCTAGTGTAAAAAAAGTTCTGAATTTTTCGAAATTTCCTTAATTTTTTTAGGTCCTCAGTTTTTCGTTTTTTTTTTCGTCAAAAACTCTATCAAAGCAAATCTAAAAAAAAAATCGACAAAAAATTTTCCTCGGTTAAAATTTCCGATTTTCGGCCTAATTCTTAAATTTTCTATACTCAAAAATGTCAATAAATGACAAAATTTATTCGTCTCCATACAATTTCGGTAGTTAAAAAAACAGCCTATTTCACGCTCTGTTGTCAACGGTGGCGATTGCATTTTATAGATTCTGAAGCGTCGTGAAATCGAACACAAAAACACATTGATGACATTCATGTCCGCTTTATCGCTTTTACTCTGTTTTCAATTCTCTCTGTTGTTCTCATCTTACGATTTCACACTTGTTTACTTTGTTTTATCTGCACTGTAATTGCCAAAATGTTTTATCACTACAATGACAGCAAAATTATACTGTTTAACTTGAACAGTACCCTATTATCATAAAACACATTAAAATTGTGTCTAAAGGAAAAAGACCGAAAATGATTTTTAAACGAGCGTAAAAACCTATAATTTAATATATATGAAAATCACACCGTGAAACCATCCATCATACACAATTGATATTCTCTTTGGAATGGGTATGCGTTGATAAACCTTCAATTTTGAATGGTACATTGCCTAATGTTAGGCGATTTTTGATGTGCTATAAAAAAAGAAGGTATTTTGGATACTGCTTGAATGAACTAACTATTTAATAAACGATAAAGCGAAAAACATTCGAAAGAACTTCTCTTTGAAAAAAACGTTCGCTTTGTCTCTTCTCTTAGAGAAATTGTATCGTGTGTTAATAACTCATCGCTCATAATGTTCCAAATAATTACGATGACAAATAAGCAATTGGAACCCATGACAAAAATGGAAATAATTGGATTTTCCACGGTTCAACAGACCACGTGTGCATTTAAATAGATCGAATTCATTCACAATTATCTCTTTTCGATGAGAATATGCAGTGACGACAAAGGTCGCTAATCAAAATAAGCGATTTTAATAATGAAATTACTTTATTTTCCAATTGCATCTTCTAAATTGACAACGAGCCAGCCAAATTAACTCGGACAAATGTCGGAAATAGTCAAATTTCCGGCAGTTATCTCTTTAAAATTGAATTTTATGAGCGTATTTGACGGTACAAACGGAGTTTGTTTATTTGTTTCGGTATTAAAATATGCAATTCATCGCTTTGAAGTGATTTCAACATCGAAATCGAACAAATCCGACATAATCTTCTCTCGAAAAGAGCATATCTACTTCCTTTTGAAGGGTCGTCAAATTGTGCAAGTGTATTTTGTGTCAGAAAAAGTCAGAAATCGCGTACAAATTTCACTTGATACAATTTTAATATTAACAAAATAATCCCCTTTTTGTTCTCGCTCACAAATTTGTCATATATTTTGACTTCTTTTTTTTTAATAAAATCGGATGTTTGTTACGGAGATGTCATATTTTATGCACTTATTTGGGCTGATATGTACGAAACAATCTGTTCAACTTCAATAAATCCAGTTTATTATTAATATTAATTCAATTTGAAATTATAATCATATCATATTTGATGTGAGTTCCCCTTTGTAATGATTCGAATAAGCGACCGAGTATTTAGCACCCTTGTCATTTTTGCCGCGACAGCACTGATTGAACGTATGTGGCAAGTTACGAAATGTTGCATCGTATAAACAGTAGTTTCAAATTGGGGTGAGTGTGATTACGTGTCTAATAGAGTAAAACCGCTTCGAATCACTTTTAGTTACCGTTTAAAGTGTAAATAAACGACGAAGATTTAATTGATTTGCCACACATTTTCCGAGGCTCTATTCGAAAAGAAACGGGGCGACGGTAACAGTTTAAAACTAGTTTAAATATCGCCGATTCACTTGTCCTGATTGTGGTTTTAAAAACAAGTCAAAACAAATGATTATCGGATCAAACTTCAGCAGACCGGCTTGCCATTGAATCACCAACGGAGAAAAATCAATTCAATTCGAACTTTTTCTGCTTTGGCAAGCAGATTTTTTTTTATTTTCTCGGCAAAACCAAACCTTTTTTTCCATTTTGCAAAGAACAAATACCTTTTTTTTTCGCTTTTGCTCAAATCTTTACTAGGTCAAACGTAATGTAAAAAAAGGCGAACAACATTCATCTGTTCCAAAATTGTTTTTCATTATCTCAAAAATGTTATAATTTGCAGTTGTTTCACCCCAAAAACCAAATTTAATACAGAACTACACACCGAGTGGAACGAATCGTTGTCTATCCCTTTGCAATGTACAGTTGGCTCCGCCCCCGTTTGACAACAGATTGAACCAATCACAGAGCGGTGGTAGTTCTTTGGTACAGCTGCGACAGACAGCATCTGAACACGGACAGACGCACCACTGTATTGAACAAACGAAAATATACGGAGGAAGAGTATACGCAATATGGCTGCTATCACCATACACACACACACACACACATGCAATTCGACGGGGATGAAATATCAATTCATAATTCGGGCAATTTCATCGCATATTTTTCGGTCACTATCACAGTTTCAAATCAGATTGTATCGTGTTGCCAACCAAATCACAACTGAGTCGACACTACCATTTAAATTAGCCTGAGAAAATTAAGTGTTCAAGTTCAATAAAGAGAAAAAAATCAAATAAAAAAGAAATAATTTTGCAGAAATGCATAAAAGGAATATTTCTGCAATTTAATTTTTCTACTGGAACCAATATTTATCGAATTTACGCAAAGAATTTATTGCAATAGAAATAAAAGTGTGTTTAAGTTGAAAAAGTGACTTTTGTTTGCAAAATGACAACATTCAATAACGAGCATTGGGATTTAAATAAAACAGCACCTGTGAGTTTTAAGAGTTTATTTGCACAAATTCCGTTTGAGTCGTCGGCAAAGAAAAAGTTTTTCGCTGACGACTATTCGAGTTGGCAAAAGGGATTTTATGTATTATTCTTTTTTGAAGAATTATCATAAACGAAAAATTCTAATTTCCAGCAACATCCCGAAGGACCATCTTACATGTCAGACGTAGTGCCTCCCACATTTACACCATCGATTTGGAGTCAAGAACAGCCACCGCCAATGGTTTCTTATCCAGAATTAATGGGCTTTCCATGCTCCGATTTGGGTTTGTGCTTTCTTTTTTCAGTAAATCACTTCGATCCAATGTTGTTTTTGCTCTGCTTTCGATCAATAATTTCATTTTCTTCGATGTTTTGTGTTTCCCATGATTAATTATATTTCGAACTCCATAAAAAGTAGACCTTTCGAAATCTTTGCTTAATGGAATCGATTTGATTAAACGCACGATACTTTTTTTCATTGGTTTCAATAGCACTTTGGCCACGTTCGCAAATCGGTGGTTTAGTTTCACAGCGTCTATCACCTCGGGGAGCATTGACCGCTCCAAATAGCAACGGAAATGCATCAGTAACACCAAAGAAAACCCGAAGACGTGTTGCATCATTAGCACAACGTCGTGCCGCAAATATTCGAGAGCGACGACGAATGTTTAATTTGAACGAAGCATTCGATAAATTACGAAGAAAAGTGAGCACTTTTTTTATATTTGACCGAAGATTTTGTGTAGTTTTTGACATTTTTTCACTTTTCCGCACACCTAGTTTGGGATAGGTTTTTTTTGAATTTTTCTTTGATTCTTATTTAATAAAAAATTGTAATTCGATCCATCAAGTTCAAGTTCATTCATACCTTATTTTTTTTGCTTACCTTTTAGTTTCCATCTTTCGTTCAATTTTATCATTTCGACTGAGTTTTTTTTTCTACGTTCATTAGTAGGTAATTTCAATAAATCTTAAAAATTAATACCGTTTTAAATTTTCTGTGAAAAAAATAAGCCGTTAACATGTTAAATTAAAAGAAAAATCATCGGTTTTCAGGTGCCAACGTTTGCATATGAGAAGCGTTTGTCACGAATTGAGACGTTGCGTTTGGCAATCACTTACATTGGTTTCATGACGGAAATATTGAGTGGAACTCCGCCAAATGAACCGAATCGTGGAAATGATCTAGCGTATCCGCCGTCAACATCTCATCATCATCACCATATACCGATGCAACGTGACTTCATACCGCCATATAATCACCAATGAAAACGATCCGCATCGAACAAATGAGAATCGATATCGATATATGTACACTCTTTTTTTGATTTTGTTTTGTCGTTATTGTTGTTATAATGAAAAGCATGTTCAATTTTAAATTGGCAACAATCGAAAGTGAAGCGAAAAAACATGACTGAAAATAAAACATCAGTTCCAATCAAAGTGAAAGTTTTCGTGCGGACAGTTATGTGTGGAACCATCACAATGGTCGATCACCGAACATCAAAACCATGTGCAAACATTAACAAGAGAAGAAGAAGAAGAAGAAACGAAAAGAAAAACGTCCAAATGTCGTTAGTTTTCATTATTTTTTGTTTATTAAGCCAATTCTTTAATTTATCATATATACGTTTAATATTATTTTGGATTGTATAAACTAACGTTTAAATGGATTCTCTCACTTCTTGTCTTAATGTCTAATTCAGAGGCACTAATCGTAATATCATCAATTTCTTTAAAAAACTATTTACACATTTAAAGAAAAAAGCGCGCGTTTTTTTTTGTGTTTCGGTCGAATTAAAGCGAAAATTATTCTTTTTTTTAGTTTCTGGCGATACATATAAAATGTAAATATTTAAAAACGAAAGAATGTTAAAACAAAAAATAAAACCAAAAATAGAAATAGCGAAAGGCAAACACTAAATTATGTGTTTTAATACAAACAAAAAAAAAACAGTGTGAGACGGTAGAGGATGGACTCTGTCTGTTTGACAGGCAAGAGAATGATTTTGGCGCCCTAATGTAAATTCCTTAAACCTATGGAATAAAATTAAAAAGAAAGAGCTAAAGACGTAACTATGTATGCACTGAGTGTATGTGAAAGCAGTATTCCCAATACGATTTTTATCGCAACGGTGTTTTTTTCATTTGTGTTAATTTTTTCATCGAATTTTAATGCATGGTTCGCATGTGCCGGGTTTTAAAAATGATGGATGACATTCCGGACATTTGGCATTTTCACCGTACCATGGTTTTCGTTGCACTTCATTCGAACTACCATCGCTGATTAGCTCTTGACTTTGGGCCACATCATCGGGTATTTTAATTTGAAATGAATTTACCGCATTATTTTCCGTATAACTTGGCCGTTCAATATTTTCCAATGGGAACGTAAATTCGGGCACCGAAAACTGTTTTTTCAATTCCAAATAATTGAGCTCTTTTCGTGTTGTGGTTTCGCTATTTCGTTTTGTTGAAATGGAATTGATCGCCGACGGTATTGTTGTGACGGAGCGTTGTGTTTGCGATTTATCGGTAGCTTGTGCAAATGTATTTGCATTATTTATTGCTGTTAACGATGGAAATGTATGATTTGATGTTCGTGATGTGTTTGTGTCATTGAATACTGGCAACGGTGAATAGACTGGCGGTTTTAAAGAAAGTGATGGCAATTTTATATTGCTGAATGATTCGAATAGCGGCGGCACCAAATCTTTGTCCGAAAATGATGATGGTCCAGACTGTGTTGTGTGCGGTGGTATTACGGGAATTTGATTTTCATCACTTGATATTGTAATGGCACCATTGCTTTTATTTTCATCGAACGGTGGCTGTAAATCAGCCGCAGGTAATTGCCATTCACGATAAATTGGTGGACCTTGAGTTGGTGTACCGAACAATGGGTTTTCGTATGGTGGCAATAATACTGTCGGTGGTTCTTTTAATTTTGTACCACCGTCACTTGGAGCCGACACCACACTTGGGGTCGATGTTATTGGTGTGGCAGTTGACGTTTTTAAACGATCACCGAAATTACTTACACCGGAACTAGCCGATTGGATTTGATTCGGCCGAGTTCGATCCTCGGTTGGTGTTAGTGGACGTGGTGGAATTGAATTCACAGTGGTCTGGGTGAACGCCGGAGTCGTTGGCAATGGACGAGTGAACTGTGGACTTTTTGTCGTTGTTGTTGTGACAGTTGTGTTGAAAATTGGATTCAAAAACGGTGGTTGGAACTCAATGACCAACGGTTTTACGGTCGGTTTCTGAGCTGGCTTTTCATCACTTTCGAAAACGTTTTCGTTTTGCGTTCGACGACTGTCTTGACTTGATGACGTTTTCAAATCATTTCCACCCGAAAAACTGGGTGCATTGGTGTCGAAGTGATTGAATGATTGGAAATTTGAACGCTGGGTCGTTGTTATTGGTGCCGATGTTGTTTGAATGGTATTCCAACGACCGGGTAGAACAAAAGGCTTTTCGTTACGATTTTCAACAACAACTGGAGATGATGATGATGCAGCTTTATGAAGGATCGCCGGCCGCTTTTCGTAACTTTGAATCGAGTTCAATAGCGGTGATATTGCCTGGAAGTAGAAAATAAGAAGTCTCTTATCGAATTGCACTCAAATTTGCTTTCCCTCACTTGGGAAAAATGTCATCAATTTACCTTTCTAAATGACTCGCCAGCAATATCATTACCAGGCCTATCAAATAAATCGGGACGAGGTGTTCGGACATCATGTTCATCGTCACGAACAAACGGTTTGTCTCGTTGACCTATTGGAATACATAGAAAACACTTATTTACTTCATTTTCTCCATTATTTCACCATTGAAGTTAAAACTTTGTCAAACATATTTCGATTTGACACCAAAGTGTTGTAGCCAATTCTTCGATTTTATGTGTGACTCTAAAATGAAAAATTAATTCCTTCAACCAAAAAATTCTGTAAAAAAAGAAAAAAACCAGTTCCAAAAGGTGAAGCTTGGCCGTCAATAAATTTCGAATCTTTTTCAATTACACGCTGATTCATGCCGACGACCGTATTTTTTGAACTTTTCAAGTTCATTCGCCATTAATTTTGGTGCACATCAACGCTGCACAAGTATTGTGAGTCATAACATGTGATGACTATGGCTAACAGCTCAATTGTGGCTATCGCTAATGGCAAAAAAAAGAGTTATTCTCCAACCACTCTTACCGATCAATAAATTAGCATCGTAATCGCTTTCGGCTTTCGAACAGTTCACCATGTACCAATGATCGCAAATGAGCATTCTCTGTTGAAAAAGCGTTGTGTTTGGGCACGAATAGCTGAATTGTCGTCCTAGTCCATCGCACATATGATAAATCTGAAAATGTTTGCATAAAATATGATTTTGTTCGGAATAATTTGCAATTTAAACCACTTTTTTTTTTACCTGACAACCTGTCGCCGTGTTCGCACAAAAGCGAATCCAGTTGATGACATGAATGAGACGAGGCACATATGGAATGAAAAGAACAAGAGATTTAGTGGACTTGATTTAAAATTTCGAATTTGCATAAATTGTGTCCCATGGCAATGTTCAAAACTGCACTGCAAAAACTTGTTTTCCACATAATTGAATTTAAAATGTTTAAATTAGATGTAATAGTTTAAGTAAAAAGTCGATTTCCCATTATTCAATTTTCAAATGATGGTGAAAACAATAATTTTGTGGCATCCAATATGATATAAGCGCATTCAATGGATATTCAAATGAAATTCACCTGCTTGAACGTCTGCATAGTATCCAGCGGGTCTTCCCTTGCAATTAAAGTTTGTTTTTGGTATTTGACTTGGATTCTGAAAAAAAAAAAAAAAAAAAATGATTTTTCAATGGAAATGTTTTCCGTCGAAACCTTTAATTAAAGACATCCGTCGCAAAATATGTTCAGGCGATGTATTGACTTGTGTTTATGCAAATGAGTATCTAAAATACCATTTTATTGTATTAATGTTTGTTGAAATCGTCTGCTAAGTGTAACACACGTGCATACGTCGGCAGAAGAAAACGATTCATTGATGATGATGATGAAGTAGCGAAAAGGTGGAGAGAATACGCAATTGATGTTGACGGTAAATGTAAACAACGAAAAAAAATGCAAAATAGCAGAGCAACAAATGTGAAAATGCATTGCAAATAGTTCATTAGATGCACATTTTTGATGTTGCATTTGCACACGTTGATGATGATGCAATCAGATAACAGTCTCTAATAATACCAAGCGCTCACGCTAAACACATAGAGAGAGTTTCGCGATTGAATTTTATTTATCTCGTGCCATTTAAACGCCATTTCATCATCGTCAAATGCATAATAACATACAATGTAATGTGCACTATATTCAAGAGTCTTTTGTTCCCGTTTTACTGTGAGAGAAAGATATGGTATTGTCTGTGAATGGTGACGTGCTACTTTCGCATAACTCGTTAAAATCAATTGAAACAAAACACCGTCGAAAATGAGCGTATGTATGGTGTAGGTAATCAATCAAAGTCGATTTGAATCGAAATTCAATTCAATTTCTGGGTCATCATCACACAAAAACCATCGGGCCTTGAGAAGGTCATATTAAATGTTCATTCATGTGACGGTCCAATATGGAAAAATCGATCAATTTTAGCCAAATGCGTTGATTACGATATAACTTACATTTATTTTAACGATTTTCGCACCTGAAATGTGTTGGCCCACAGCTTGCCAAAAGAAAAAACGCATTCGTCCAAAAGTGGTCATGCAAATCGGTTCGGAAATTGACAAAACTCGTCATCAAAAATCCTTGCCACGTCAATAAAAAATAAATGGCCAAATCCCGCAGCTATCGAATCGCCCGAAACTGCTTACTTAGTTAATTCCCATTTGTTTGTTTGAAAACAATTGCGACCATGTGTTTGTTGTGTGAACTCACTTGGCACCGACACTTGATGATGATGTCGGTTCAATTTATGAGACAATTGAAAGAAATTACTTGTTGTCTCGATTTTGTTTTTAAGACGAACACAAAAAATCGTTTAAATTAACAGTGATTTCTATCGCAAAACATCGTTTACAACATGAAACATTGAACGAATGGCCTACAAATGACATATCGTCGCGCGCGGGAACACGGCTGTCTGATGCATACCGCAAAGCGAAAAAAACCGACCCGAAGAAGAATGATTTTAATGAGAATCTTAAATCACAGAAAACAAAGCAAATGGATTTTTTTCGTCTTCGTCGGAATTGTTTTCATTCCACCACATATTTTGTTGATGAATCGCACCGACACATCATTTTTCGGTGAAGAAAATGGGTTTGCCGCGCGCATTTGCAAAAAAACAACAAATTCACATATCTAGAGACGCTTTTTCAGGGAATATTTATGGTGCGATTACGTCAAAATATTTTACAATTGCACGGAATTCAGTTTATCTAGTGACATCGTGTGTTGTTTTTAGCTGAAAAAGAGACAAACCCCATCAATATTAGAAAAAAATGTCAACGGCACGAGACTGACACATAAATCATGGTGCAAACGACGTGAACAACGTTTACATCGCATTTTATGACTTAATTTACGGTATTACCATAATATTACGGAATTTTTAACAAACCTTCTTTTCGGCACTGTTTTGGTAGCACCTTAGTTTAATTAAGTTTCTTCATTCTACGTTTCTTTGTTGGCGTTTTTTTTTCTATTCCTTTCGAGTATTAAACTTAATTACTCGCTACTTGGGGTTTCGGAATGATTTTGCACAAATTTCACGATTTTTTCAGATAACTCGGAAATCAATGGAGAAACCAAGAAAAAAAAATATTTATTCAAGAGAAACGGTCGAGATAAAGTAGTTGCTCAAGTTTAGAGACAATTTTCAATATCAAGACCGATTTTAACCGCACTTGATTTATATCGGTTGTATGTGGTGAAATTCGTCAATTTTTGTTATTTTTCCGTCAAAGTTCATTGAATTCGTCATCAAAATGGTGGAATCAAGGAGAGGAAACTATGTTTCACCCACTCGGGTGAATTCACAATTTTAATGAATGCTATTATTATATTAATACAGCAATTTAGTTATTTGTTATTCAAATGAAGTGCAAATTCCATAAACTTTTCGGAGTGAATAACACTTGGAAGAGTAATGACTGCATTCATTAACGAAAGTGAATAACAATTCTTATTCGTTGAAAAAAAGTTTAGTTCATATAAAAATTAGATTTATTTTCGTGTAATTGTCTAAAGAACGAGTAAATTTACCATGCCAATTTCTTAAAAAAATGACTGTCGACGTCTTCACTGTCATATTTGAATCGTTGAAAAATTACTATTTTCCCAACGCATCGTGTCATTTATTATTATACTGACAGGCTCGACTTACTCGTACTTTCATTTTAGTGATTTATTAATTCAACAAATTTGAAAAAAAAGTAAAAAAAGTAACTCCAAATAATAATAATAAAAACAGCTTCATAGGTGTATGAAAGTTATTGTGTAGAAAAAATGGTGTTTTGCAACTGTAAAGGACCAATGGTTCAAGATGCACTTCAGTCAGACAAAATCATCGCCTTTGACTCAAGACGTACGCTTTTTTCTTCAACGCGTGAATAATCGAGCAGATATGGTGCCGAAATATTTACAGCCAGCTGAAACGTATTTTTCTGGTTTTATTATTCATGTTGGAGTGACATGAGGTGAAAGAGAGAGAGAGAGAGAGCGAAATGTGACATGAAGTGAGACACACGGTGCATCTAAAAATAAGAGAGACATGTTAACACCGTCGGTAGGACAGGGAAGAAAAATCCAAAGAGCGATCAAATCAAGTAATTTATTGGAAATTATAACATTTTGACTCTTATTAATGAATGTGACCCAATTTCTACTGTACAAATGTGATTTTTTGCACTTTTCCATCGATTGCAGCTTACAATCAAAACATTAAAAATTATATTTCCTACTAAGTAGCTCAGAACAGCAGATCAAGTTACTCAAAAATGTCAAACAACTACATTAGTTAGTTCACATGTTATGCTTTAAATAGAAATCTAAAAAACCATAAAGAGTTTAAATGGTTATCTCCACCACGTGATTGTTGTTGTGTTGCCTCCACATGCACTCAAATCGAACATTTCATTAGTTATACCGTTATTTGAATGTCGATCCAAAAATGTTGGATATAATTAGGTCAAAAGGTGGGTATTTTGAAGTGCAACACGCGCAAGAAACCAGGTTATTTTGCCAAAGATGCAAGGTCCGCATAAACATGTCATAGAAAGCCGTTCACGAAACTAATTTATTTAAAATCAATGAATTTTAATCAAGTTTCTGACTCAAAAACTTAATAGAGTCTTTTCAAATAAAATGTGTTTTATTTATTCGTTGATTTAAAAGCTTAAAATTCTTGAGGTAATCGGAAGAAATATTCGCGATTTCCGAAGAATATGTCACCATTAATGGAAATTCGTCGATGAATAACGTTGATTAGATTATTTAAATTATTATGTAGATTTTTATCGCTGTTTTGAAATAATAAAAATTGCAGTTTGTCGTCCACGTCGCTCATAAAACAGCTGTGTCAACATAAAAATCGTCAATCGAAACGAGATTCGCAGCATTTGTTGTCCAATTTTAATAAGCAAATTATAAATCGTTAATTTGTTTTATCTGCTATATTTGGAATGTTAATACAACGTATCTGAAATCGAAATGAAAAGAACGAATGCGATCAAAAAGACTGCTGCACTCCCAAAAATCTTGAAGCGATAAAGAAAAGTCTGCATTATTTCTAAAAAATCAAGGCCATGATTTGATTAAGTATGTAAAATCGCGTTAAAAACCAAATTGGAAGTGTAAAAATCATCCGAATGTTCTTCTTCGTTTCATATGTTTTTATATGCAAAATATGATTAAATTTCAATAAATTCCACATGTTATGCGAATTTATTGATTTTATTCGAAGCAAAAATTCTAATCGGTTCCAATGTGTTAGGCATGTGCCAAATATAGTTGCTTAGTCAATGTCGCCGCATATATGTAAAATGTGTGCGTGCTGATGTTGAATCGTGAACCGCTACCAAATGTTCATATATATTTTTTTTGCTGATTCATATACGTGCCAGATTTCACGTGGGTGCGATTCTATATATTCGCTTGAACCGAGATTTGCAGAAAGTGTCTAGTTTGCGCGCAAAACAAATAACGTGTGATTCGCATGAATCGGCATTAGTTTTGGGTAAGCCGCAAAAATTAATTCCATTCGATCAGATTGTAAATGAACAAAAGTCAAAATAAACATAAATTCGAGAGTGTGAGATGGTTTTCATCAGAAGCGACACACATCGTGCTTTGCATTTCGCCTACTGATTCGCACTTGAAACAAACAAATTACTTTTGCGTAAAATAACTTTTCCATTTTTGGTGTGCTGACGATGGATGGGCACTTTCCTTGTGGTTAAGTCATTAATTCTCATACGCTTATAATTATAATTTTGCACGGAGGTGGCTTTTTAAGAACCTTTTAAAGTGAATGTCATCGATGCAGTTGCGAATGAGTTTGTTTATGCCATTGGAAAATTTATCATCCAGCCATTAACGCAAAAAATTAATTACACAAAACAGATTTTGCTTTTGAGAAGATTGTAACCACCCGCTTTGCAGAGGAAAAAAAACATCATTTAATCCGCCGCGAAACATGTAAATACCTTTCGATCTCTTTTTTACTTCTTCTTCTATCTCTGTTTCTCTCTTTCTGCTTCTGTTAGAAAAGAGAGTGAAAGAGATCTCTCTGTCTCTACCTCGCTTTGTGCGCGCCTCTCACTTTTCGCC